ACAAAGACATTTTTAATAATGACCGATATGACAGAATCTACTGAGCTTCTAGGTTTTAAAGACCAAAGGATGGTTATAAAGTTACTGTAAAAATTTCCTTGTGTATTTGTGATGTTATATCGTGAGACGAACTCAAAGTCCGGCAAAATTTACTTGCTAGCGACTATGAAATATGCACGGTGTGCCTACTTGTCGCCACCGTTTACTGGCATAAATCACCGCAGTTTATAAAGAAATCTAACATGACACTCTTACCTTGTTTACTCATGATTTTATTAGCTGTTTCGATGATCAAGTTATGCTCTACCACATTTTAGCCAGATTTAACTTACAGTTTGAAAATCTCCTCCACATTATTATATTAGTTGCATGACAAGCGTGACAAATATAAATTCAAAGATGAATCAACCCCCGAATTACAAAAATTACTGTATTCAGAAAACTAAAATGTCCAGATCCATCACTGATTCCTTTACCGGCGGAAGTCAAAGAATGTTTACAAAAGTCAATTCGATTGACAAGCTACATACTGCTTAAGCTAATTGATCTGTTGTATAAGCGTTTCATCTTATATGCTAACAAGGAGATTTGCTGTTCATTTAAATCGTTCGCTGGGAGGACTTTGGGTATAGTTATCGAGAAGATCGACGTTGCATATCTCAGGTCGTTCCCTTGCGCAGTTGTAAAAAAGACATTTCAAGTTACTTGCGGAGATTCAGAACCTGACGTTGGTCTTATTTTGTCGCGAGCCGGCATCTTCGAGACGATGATATCGATGATTTTATAATTTGCCCCACTCATAGATGAAATCTCGGTACCGGTGTTGGGTGGATTCGTGGTGCCATTAATAGATGTAGAGTGCCTAAAGAAGTGTACGGCCATGGTAAAGGTGGAGAAAAGCCTATTGGCAAGCGTGTACCACAGATAGTACGCAAGACGCCTGGAAAATTCATATAACCTGGCTACTTACCACCTTGTGCAAAATTACGCGTCCTGTCCGACTTAGGCCTCGACTGGGAATTGGTCAATAGGCCACCAAAAATCCAGACAGAGGCGGAGTTTTCTATACTAATGTCTAGGCACTTTGTAGTCTGGCGGGACGCGTAATTAAGCACACAGTGGTAAAGGGCCATTAGTAGTAGTTACAAGACGATGACAAAACTTTTTTCTCTTCACCGAAAATCACATCAAAATTTTTCCTTGCTAAATTTCAAGTGCGCTACACGTATCAGCACCCCTCAGGGAACCATATGTATAAGAGGGCGAGGATGCTATAAAATTATAAAAGGTACCTGAGTCTTATCCGTGTGGGAGTGGCAACAACTGATATCTACCCCCTAAAAAGTACCAATTTCAACCAAAAAAAAAAAAATTGAAAAATCCCAAAAATAAGAACTCCTTTATTGATGTACTCCAGAGGCTCAAGTTAGATCATTAAAATCGTCCTAGCAATGCTTATTTCAGGTATTTTATTGAGCGAAAAACACCGTAAAAAGTACCAGTTAGGTCTCTGGTAGTCCACTAAAGTTTGAGACATCATAAAAGGTGCCAGATAACTGATTTTGACCCCTGAAAGATACGACAAGCATCCTCACCCATATCCGATCGCCTCCTCCCTCCCCCACCAACCCTGTCAGCACCTAAAAACTAAAGATGTGATTTCCCAACCACGAGCTGTCAGTCTCACCTCGTAAAATTCACGTAAACTGGTTATTTACTTATAAAAACTTTAGGCACTGATCTGTCAGATTTTTATGCGGAAAAAATCTGTCCTGCTTCGAGGCAGGACGGCTGTACTTTTTTTTGTTTTGTTCGTCTTGACATAATTTGGTAGGGATTAAAATAACTGTACGTCTGCATTTGTTAAACAGACTATTCAAGTGCATCCAGAACTCGATGTGTGCACTTCTAGTGCATTAAGTATTCTTTTGTAACATAGCCAAAGATCTTGCGATGTCTACTGTTCAAGCCTTTTTTCTTTTCAAAGAGATATCAGAATTATTCTTATTAATTTTTTTTATTTTTACTGTCAAATTTGCAGTAAACTGCTAGCGAGTCATCCTTTGTTTTGGTGTCTTTCTTTCATCACATAAAAAGTTTTAGGACCTGATAGCATCTTAGGGACAGACCATTAGACTTTTGATGCGGGAGCGGGGTGTGTTGGGTAATTGGCAAAAGACCTCCCCTCCCCCTCCCGCATCAAAAATCTAATGGTCCGTCCCTAAGGTACCTTTTACATTATTCCAAAATGGGGTGTCGTTCCGGAACGAAATGAATTTCATGAATAAAGGGTAAGTTTCTAAAGAAACTGTGGTGCTGCGTCGGTGGGAGAGTATAGCAGGTAATTTAGTGTTAACAACTAGCAGGTAATTTAGTGTTAACAACTAGCAGGTAATTTAGTGTTAACAACTAGCAGGTAATTTAGTGTTAAGGGCTAACGCTCGAAACGTCAGCTTTTTTACCCTTTACGGTGGCTAATTTACGTTTTCAACCCAGTTGTTAACACTAAATTACCTGAAATGAATTTCATACCGCGTTTACATGCAAGATAATTTAGCTTGTAAAAACAAGTATATACGTCCTTTTTCTATGCTTCCCTTGCTCCTAAATAAAGAGAATTCGTACAGATACGAGTGTCGTACCGCGTTTACTTTATACAGGTACAAAAGGTCGTCCAGAATAAGTGTTTCGTTCTGGAATGAAAACCTCGATAAACTCATTCAGAAATGACTCGTTTCGAATAATTTTACTCTGGTATCATGTGGCAACCGGGATGAACTCGTTCTTGAACAAAACTCATTCCGGTATCATGTAAAAGGCCCCTAAGAATTTTTATTCCCAGAGCATCACGCTTTGCTCTCCTGCCAGAACACTATAAATTTCAATGGCGTTGAAGCAACAACCCACTTTGAACTGCTACGCTGCTACTGAAACAACGATTAGTGACCACAAAGTAACATTCTGTAATATTGTCAATTCAACATAAACAAAAATCTTCATACAGGGCAAATATTCATTTGTGTTGGTATCAATTATTGCGTGACTAGCTTATGATATAAATGGGATAGGGGAAAACACAACGTAAAACCTGGGCTCCTGGCAAAAAGTAATACCCAAGCGTAATATAATAACCGAAACAACTTATTGGTCTTATAAAATCATAAATAAACAAGGTAAGAGTGTTATTTTAAATTTTTTTTACAAACTGTAGTGATTTATGCCTCGATATGCCAATAAACGGTGGCAACAAGTAAGCACATCATGTATATTTTATAGTCGCTAGCAAGTAAAATTTTGCCGGACTTTGAGTTCGTCTCACGATAGAACAACACAAATGCACAAGGAAATTTTTACAGTAACTTTATAGCCATCCTTTTTTCTTTTAAAAGCTAGAAGCTCAGTAGATTCTGTCATATCGGTCATTGTTAAAACTGTCTTTGTTTTGATGCTACTTTTCGACATAGAAAAAGTATGTCGGACAAAAATACTCACCAAAAAATAAATATTTCTTTGCCAGCTTCAATAATGACAGGGGATTAAGTTTAGATGATAAAACAAAGGATTATGCCGACAGAAATACCGGAGGTCAAGTAAATTCGTTACATGAGGTCACACAACTCGGGTAATATTCAGGATGAAAATTTACATATTTAAGCGGTCGAACGAAAAAATAATTTCTCGAAAACGAAAATATATTTTCACAAAAAAACTACACCACAATTATTAGGACATACTGGGCTACAAAATATGAAAGTAGGAGAGAAAACGAATTCGGACGACTTGCCGCTGTTTGTCTGATGCATGTTGACATTAGCTCTTAATACACTCTTTCAGTTTGTGGAGGCCTTCTCATGGTAGAGCTGCGACGATTCTTTCGAGCGCCGGCTTCTTTTTTTTCCTAGCTCTGCTGCTATTCTGATCACTTTCAAGGCGTTCTAGACCAGTAATTTATCCATAGAACCAAGTTATTAAATTGGTGTAAAGTAGAGACAACGTTCTTTGGTTAGCAAAACCGTCCATCTTCAACTTAGCCGAACCTTTTATCTGAACATTTATTTTCATGAATAGTGTCAAGAGCGCCGAAAGCTAAAATTGAAATGTCACGCACATAATAAATTAACCTTGTTACGGAGAATTTGTGTAAATTAGTGGCCCTTAAGGTTTTAATAGCATGAAAAGTACAAAAATAAACAAAGAAGCTACATTAGCGAGTAAACACGAAAGACCCACACGAAGCTATGAAAACTAAAATTATGCAAATTCAAAGTTCGCGGCATGTCATTGATAGAGTTCTATTTATCGCACGGAGTGTACACTAAGCTGTTACAATGCCGTAAAATTACAACCCTTGATTACTTCAAGACAATCTGGAACATGCCCTATATGACGAATTTTTAATGAAATGTTCGTTAGACTTGGCTCGCTTGGAAAAGATATTTACTCATCCGTGTGATGTATTTGAGAAGGCGTGCTACCTTAAAACATAGAACATAGATTATCCAAAATACTCTTCTCTTTATACTCTCCCAAAACATTTCAGATCACTTAGATGATATACTCTTCTCCAAAATGGAAAATTTGCCGCAAGGTAAAAAGTAATCCTCAAAGCGAGGGAGTGGATTCTATATTTGAAGATTTCAAATCTGTGGATCTCATATCACAAGAGAAATGTTTTTGTGACATTGGTCACTTTAAACGTTCTATAGATAAGTTACCAGGGCTGAATTTCACTGACTTTGGACCAGTTTTGCTTTAGGTATGACAAGGGATTTTCCGTGTAAACCTTTACCCACCCCGGTAAAGTAAAAATTAGCTTTAGCAGCATACATATACGTTTTCTGGCTGAAATACCACAATTCTCGCACAATTCAGTATTGGAACATGCGTACCGTTCGTTGCAATTGGATTTTCGCTTGGTTAGTATGCCTGTTACACATAATGTAAAACATTAATGTTATTCTTGTTTTTCTGGGTTTTTTGTTTTGTTTTTTCAATCAAAGATCCAGCGATGATCACAAACCCTGGAAATCAAACATTTAGTAAGAAACCTGGAGAAGAGGTTAGCTTTTCTTGTTATAAAGACGGTTACCCAACACCAACAGTTACCTGGACAAAGGACGATGTCGTCATGAATTGGAAGTCTGAAGATAACCCCAGTAAAGTGATTTTTCAAGTAAAAGAGTCCAGCCCTGGTTGGTATCGCTGCAAAGTCGAAAATGAATTGAACATGGTTTTCAAATGGTTTCACCTCAGTAAGTAGATTTGGTCCAATGTTATTAAACGAAGCGATTTTGAAATGGGTCTTGCGTTTCATTTTGATAATGTTACAAAGACTATGAAATAACAAAATGATGATAATTTTTTTTTTAAAGCATGGTCTCTTTTGTGAATGAAAGTAACGTAAAGTAAAAAACCAATTCACATATGTGTCTGTAGGTGTTTGTGTATGTTCCCGATGTGAATTTTGAATTTTCCTCCTTTCTAAAGTTGTATCTGACGATAAATTCAACATAAAGTTAACCGTCACGAACAGAGATTGCAGCGGTAATCTTCAAGAAACCCTTCAGCAACTGCAGTCTAAAGTAAGTAAAATAAATTAAGGCGATTTACAACAACCGATCGAAGAAAAAATCACGTCAGAATAAGTATACCAGGGGGTCAACTGTGGAGTAAATTTATTTTGGACGAAATCACATAGGTTAAATAAAGAGCTAACCAAAAACTCACCATACCATTAAAGGACTGCGACCATTTAACTTTTTATAGCCTTCTGATTAGCTGAACTAACTGGCCAGTGACCGCTTTTTTCACTCGCCTACCTGATGTAAACACAATTTTTTCGGCCCATTCAGGTGAAAACGTTTTAGTTTGGGTTACTTCACTAAACATACTTTACTAAAACAATTATTCTACTCAGGTTTGCCTGAGTAGAATAATTGTAGAATAAAGATTAAAATTATCATAACGTACTCGGAGTCACGTACGCGCTTCCTTCGTTATTTATTATCATCATGTTGAATTACTCTAACTCGGCAATTCAAAATAGAGAGAAAGAAGTGGAATTTGCACCCGAGAAGACTAGGATATTTTAACGTATTCTATGTGCCTCAAAGTAACTTGCCTTATCAGAGCTTATTAATTGATGGACTTTTTCTTAATCCCTGAATAGGTAGGTGAAGTTCTTAAATTACAGTTTCCGTCTTTGGAAGCGGTAGAAGCTACAAAGTACAAGTATGATGTTGGATTGTAATATAATACTTCTCAAACTTTGTGATTCGTTGTAGAAGGCTATAAGAGAGTCATCTACAGTAGTTTCCTCTGGGTGGAACATTGCTGAACCAGCGCTCGCCATTTTGCGTATTGAATTCCTTCCGGTTCAGATGTTCCTGTTTAGAACATTTTTATGAACCTAGGGAAAACACTGTATACTATTAGCAGTCTTTGCGTCATTCAAAGCTTTAATAGAGCTTGCAAAAGGGAATTAGAAGCACTCATTTGGTCGCCAAAATTATAGCTTGCATACGAGCTAAACAATTTGTTGCGTTTGCCTTCATGATTCTCGACAAAGTGGAAGTTTTCTGGGATTTTCTTTACATGTTAAGTTGTGGCTCCATTATTATCCCCAGGTGCGGCAGTATAACTGTCTATCTCTCATTGGAATTCAATCAAAATGAAGAGATAAGCAAAGTTCTGTCAGTTCTAAGCAAGGCTGTTACACCTGGAGGCAAAGGTATTGGAGACTTTGCAGTTGACCCGGGATCAATCCAAGCGATATCTGATGATGAGATACCTTCTGATGCACCATCTAGCACCACAAAAACAACCATTACCTCAGAAGACCCAAAAGGTAAAGATGCGTGGAAAGTCGTAAGGAAAATTCTTGACTATGAAGAAAATAATTTTGCTTTGGCAACCTCAGGTTATACGTAACCATCCTAATTATACATCAACAATTAGATGACCATACCGGCTGCGATAGCCCATCGTCATGTTTTGATTGCGCTGAGTAAAATGTTTTCTGCTGTTGATGATTTTTTGTAAATTGATTGACTGGTCAATTTGACTTTTGCATGGAAAAAGGCAACATGTTGACACCTGTGATCGTGAAATCGGATAACATGTGATTGGTCAGTAGATATCTTACTCTGTAAATCACTTTATCATATAGCTAGCAGCGCACGTGGGCAAGATGAAGTGAATCCTGTGTTCTGATTGGTCACCTGAGCGGGCATGATGGGCCCACCCTCGCCCGCTTGGGATTCCCCGTGTTAATCCCACGCAAGAAAACTTACAAATTTCGTAGCTTTTGGACAATGTCGGCATTAACATAAAAAATTAAACGACCCTCTTGGGTTATTGTGTCGCAAACACAGTTGGCTTTCACTATCGGCTCTCGAAATAAACAAGCCATTCTTGATTCTTATCAAAGAGAAATCTTTTGCTACACAATGAATCCTGTAATGATTATGCCATGAGAATACAAACTCTCTTGAGCAAGCTTGTTTGGTCAAGGTGACTGGATATCAGCCTCGTTCTTTTCCTACTTTTTTTATGGACCGAGACTTCGTCTCAGTCCATAAAACGCAAAAAAAGAGAACTCTGCCAATATCTAGCCATTTTGACCTCACGCTTGGTCAATAACGCATATGAATATATTTTATGCAGACCCATACAAATCTGGCAAGGGAAGATAGTACAAAAAATGCTCTTCCGAGCCCGGAATTTGTCTAAAGTATAAGTTGGTGGACTTCCTTTTCCTTGTAATTCGGTTCATGAAGCGTTAACTTCAGCACTGATCACACAAGTATATCGTCAAAATCTGTTACACTTAAGAGTCTGAGCCAACGATATAAAGAGAGCTGTTTATCAGCGTTCTCATTGCTTTTGCGTCCGCCAATTTGATGCCAAAAGCACATTAGTATAAGGTTTTGTAGCCAATGCTTCTCAACCTACGTCTTAAGCAAGTAAAAAGACGCTGATTAATATCAGCGAGCCCGCAATATGCCATGAATATTGGTCAAAGTATTCTTTGGTGCGACAGTTGTCTCTTTAACACCTCAATATTAGCGCAGTTAAACGATTGCATTGGAGGCTTATTACATTTAGGACCGAACATTATTATATTTAGGGCTTGATTACATTTAGGACCAAATGTTATTACATTTTGGACTTTATTACATTTAGTACAGTTATTACATTTAGGACTTCAACATACGTTTCACATAAACATTAAGATCCTAGAAATATGGCTTAGTGAAAGCATTTTATACCGGCGTAAATCTTCCACGAACAGAAGACCGGTTACGAACAGGCTCAGGTTTATTTAAAAGTGGAAAAGTTCCACGCTTGTTTAACATCATCTTCAGCAATCTTAGGTTTATGTTTGACTGTTACCATATTTTGTAGAATATGAAAAAATCCGAGTCTGTCTTTGTGAGTAAGTGTAAATGAATCAGTCTACAAATTTTTATTTGACAGAGATGAACATTTGTGAATGTTCTTGCAAACACGTGTTACTTGGATCCATCATCGGAGTTCTTCTTCTATTCAATCTCATTCTCGTTATCCATGTGGTTTGGATCCACAAAAAAGGTGAATGATTCTTGGTTTCCCTCGAGTTGCCATCTAATTCTCCCATGCAATTTTTGTTTCGTAACTTTACCCTCATCTTTTATTTTTTTTCTTTCGATAGACACTGCGGGAAAGCGAAGGTGAGTCTTATTGCCATTGTGACGAGGGTTGCTTTCTTTAGAGCAAAGCATTTGTTATAGCTCACAATGATAACTGAAATGCTGAAAGCAGATCTTCGGATTTCCTTTTAGGTTCTTGCTAGTGCTTTATAACTCACATAAAAAATGAATGACACAACAAATAAGTTTCAGTATCAGTACGGACAGCTGGTTGGACAGTTAACAAAATTCCCTCTGAGTTTTGCACATTTTAATTTCTTATTATTTAATGTTGGTGGAATCTTAAATTTGTCGTTGTAATCATGTATTTGTAGTTTGAGTTAAGACTGTAATTTTCTTTATCTTCTTAGACTTGACTTAGACACGACCACGTCAGCCACGTTGCAATTTTATCATGTATAAATGAATGCTTTCATATTATTACTGTAATCATTATCATCATCATAATATAGTTTTAAGATGAAAAAAATTATATCAATAACATATAAAGGACTGAATGCAAATTTGCACTTGTGACAGCACAAGTACAAAACAGTTATAAACACTAAAAACACTTTACCCTCACGTTTTGTTTTATTTTAGACGAAATGAAGACAGCAGAGAGGCATATTATGTAAGAAAAGTTCTGATTATATGAAAAACTCCATTTTTCCCATTTTTACTGACTCTTTTATGCGAAACAAGGTGACTTAACATTAGAAAAAAATACCCTTAGCGTTAAAATTTAAGGGAAGTTTAGACTAAAAAGGTAGGAAATTTTGAAGTTTATGTGTAAGGGATCAAAAACTGTTCCTTTCTTTTTCTTCATCTTAGAACGAAATGGCGATGAAGGATCAGGAGGGCGACCGCTCAGATGCAAGACATTTTATCCAGTCTCGCGCCGAATACATGGATCTCAAAGAAATAAGTGCCGAACGCAATACTAAGGAACAAAGCACTCATCAAATGGCTGATTACGCGCCTCTCCATCCATCAACACGCTCTTGGGAGGTGCCAAGGGATCACGTGTCTGTAGAAAAAATCATTGGTAAAGGTGCTTTTGGTCAGGTTGCTAAGGGAACAGCTGAGCAACTTCGTGGGAGGCCTGGGACAACTACAGTGGCTATTAAAATGCTCAAAAGTATGATGTTACATTTCTTAAAAATTGTTTATATCTCCTGAAATTTTCATGTTGGCAGTATTGTTTCTTATTCTCCATACTTTTAAGATGCTTCCTACTGTTTTTATTTAACTGTGAGAGTGATAATACTTGCAGCATTAGACACGCTTGACGCGCGTGTAAATCCTAAGCACTGTACGTGTGCAACGGTCAAACTGCACGTCACTACGCGCACCTTAGTGTATTAGAAAATGCACGCGTGACAACGAAACGCTAACTTTGTGTTACTGTGTAACCTACGCAAAGTTAGTCATCTCTGACTCATTTAATGCATGTTCTGAGACAAAAGTATGTGTAAGAAAAACAAACAAATTGGAGTCATTCTTCTTCTTAAGAAATCAGACGAGAATGAGCGAGTCGCTGTATTTTTTGGGTCTCTTATGAATTGAAAACGTGTGAGTTGTGACGATAAGGTTTTCGAGCACTAAATTTGACTTAAAATTTGATTTGAAACGTACAAGCGGGGGGAAATAACTCGGTAGAGACCACTCGGCTTACAAGAACGGAAAATCGTCACGATTTTCTGGCACACGGAGATCTACTTCGAGCGAGCTTGTACGGACGTCGAGGATGAGACAGCACTTTGGTTCCACAGTAGACTTTATTCGTAGAGCACTCTAACACACGTCATACCAGAGTCAAAACTAAACTTGTTATCATCACGCAGTCGTCTATGTAATCGGCAGGCCGTCGTGTTTATAATCGGTACGCCGTCGTGTAGGTGATCGAAAAAGCTTTGCAAAGTACGTGCTTAAATATAAAATGGTGTGAGGTTCCATTGTTCTCTAAATCTACCATATTTGAACAGTATAACAAAAGAGGCGGAAGTTAAACGAAAGCTACCTAAATACTCCATCTGTTTCTAGGACGAAAAGAATCTAAAACTAAAAAGACGGATGCAATAAACTCGAGGCCATTAAAAATAGGAAACTTAGGTGAGAATTCACAGCTCTGGTATAGAAAATATACCTATCTTAATTGCAGTAGAGCAGCTTAGGAAATAAAAGTGGAAAAGTAATTAAAAGTTTCTGCTTATCTATGCAAGGTTGGTGTGGAAACTATCGTATGAAAGGAAATTAAAATTACAAGTATGAACTCAGCTGCTAACTACCATGAGAACCAATTTTTCCAGAAAGATTGTTAACTCTTATATTTACCTAATATTTCACCAGAAATGATGAACAAAAGTACCGACATGCAGGTGCATGATGAAAGCGAGTAACAAGCAAAAATCGCTTAGTTTACTACTCAAAAGCTACAATGGTTTTTCTCATGGTTTTTTTATTTATTTATTTACTGGAATGAAAGAGCTTAAATGGGCTCGAATAAATTGGAAATGGTTAAATGTGAAAAGTTTAGGAATAAATATGTTCCAAACAAACACACGAAAAAAATCAGTAAATTCTCTTGTAATAGTGTTAAGACAAATATCAATTTCCACCGCTTCCGCACTTCTTTAAATAGTTTCTTCTAACTCAAAATTTGGAAGATTAAATTACTAATGGAGTTTTGGAAGTCAAACGAAAAAAATTGTGAAGCATCGATTCCTTCATTAAATGGCAACATAATCATAATTGCTTCGATGAATAAGGAAAGTTGATCTGTTTCTAGAATTGTTACTAGCATGTGACAAAATATCTCATTCAGGAGCACCATTTTGCTGTGTGCGCAAACAACAAATTCAATTATTACAGAATGTCTCCCGCTACGTAGATAGGTTTCTATATTTCTCTACTAAGTCTACTACTCTCTGATATACTGCGTTAATATCGTTTCATATAAAAGGAACGAACTAGTAACTCAAAAGTGAGATTCAGTCAAGGGCGGATTTTTGAAGCGAATAATGTTTGAATGCTCAACTTAGAATTTTTCTGAAATACAAATCCCCACAGCGATAGCATTCTTGTGAAAGAGTACACGTAAGTAAGTGCGTGCATTGAATAAAAGGAGGTTAAAATAGACGCATTTGCGTGTAAACCACTGCACGCGGGTATTTGTCATACTGCACGCCCTTTACTTTAGGAAGTTCGTGAAGTTAACACTTATGACACGCACTTGTACGATGCCTATTAAGCGCCACGCTATTTCATTCTTTTTTGTAAACTGGCGATTCGCCACTTTGAACCGCCGATCGCCACTTAGAACTGGCGGTTCGCTACTTTGAACTAGCGATCGCCACTTTGAACTGACGAATCGCCACTTTGAACTGGCGATCACCACTTTGAATTGGAGATTCGCTACTTTGAACTAGCGATCGCCACTTTGGAGTCGCGATCGCCGCTTTGAACTGTTGATTCGCCTCTTGGAAGCGGCGATTGTTCCACTTTCCAAAGAAACTGCCTGCTCATTAAGCCCAATAGGGCTTCCATCATTTCCATGTTAGCAATATCTTTATGTTTGTCTTCGTGCAAAGCAGGTTTACACTCGTATATTCCAGTGGTTTAACAGAATATTGTTCAGAGATGGGCTCATTTCAACCTACTTTCACCTTAAATTCAATCATGTTGAAGTTTTTTCATTTTTGACTTTGAGCCATGGAATACGTTTAAGCTTTCGTCAGTTGAAAAGAATACTGAGAAATCAAGGTCTATTTCGAAGACGAAATTATAGCAACCCATATGAGATTGTAAGTGCAGTTGAAAGGGAACTTTGTGGAAGTGGGAGTTCCATTGGCTATAGATTAAGGCACCACAGACTCAGAAATGATTATAACCTTGCTGTTGACAAGGAAATTGTGCGCCTTATTCTTAAAACCCTGGATCCAGAAGGTTTTGAAAGAAGACCCAGAAGGCGTTTAAGACGTTGGAAGTACTATGCCAAAGGACTAAATTACTTTTGGCATATAGATGGATATGATGAGCTAAAACCCTTAGGTTTTTGTTTTCATGGTGCAGTAGATGGATACATGCACAGTCGCCGCATTTTGTGGCTTGAAGCCAGTATCACTAGCAATGATCTCAGCGTCATAGCGGAGTACTATTGTGACTGTATAAAGCAAGTGAGAGGTGGTCCGAGGATTGTCCGCGCCGATGAAGGTACGGAGAACTGCAATGTTGCTGGAATTCAATGCTTTTTCAGAAGGAATGGCATTGGTTCCTTCGCGGACGATGAGAGCTTTAATTTATGTATGGACGTTCAGTTTCCAATCAAAGGATTGAAGTTTGGTGGTCTTTTCTACGTAAAACTGAGTCTGATTGGTAGATCAAACTCTTCAAGGATATTCGGGACGCGGGCGTATATTGCAGCAGTAATCCAATTCATATGGAATGCCCGAAATTCTGTTTCATGCACTTAATCCAAGACGAGCTTAAACACGTGGCAGAAGAATGGAATCTTCCTAGGATTAGGCCATGTAGAAATTCCGACCCTCCAGTAGGTCGCCCCGACGTTCTATGTTTTCTTCCAGTGCCAAGCGATGAAATCGATCTAGCTATGAGGTATGCTGTGATCAACTCAATGAACAGCCGGCCCCTAGAGAGTTCGTGGAGTTGGCTCACCTCATCATGGATGAAGAGGATCTGAGGATACCAGATGACGCAGAAGAGGCACTGAGGTTATATATAGTTATATCCGTGAGTTAGATATTCAAGGTCAAGTCGATTACTTTGGTAACGACTAAACCCTTTAAAAAAATCCTTAGCTGCCTCGTAACGTTAAATTGAAAGTCTGGTTTCCCCCCTAACTTGACTAAAGATTGCATTTCAGTGTTTCAATGTAGTAAACTTGTACATAAAAGAGCTGTTTTGACCGTACTTCTACCAAGAACTGTGGAGCCACTTGTTGATATTATGTGCCATGTGTAAGATCTTAGCGTGCGGAATGTATTCAATCATTAATGACTCTTTTGTGTTGCTGTTTCTCGTCGTCTAGTTAGCTTCTGTTGTTGTCCATATCACATACTTTCGTTCATTAATATTTCTTTCGCAATTATTGGCGTCAATTACACTTTCAGTTAGTCGTTTTCACATGCATTAATTTTTAGTTTTTCGTCCGTATCGAAACTTGGCTTTCTCTGTTCAGGGCCCTTTTTTTTTCGGTAGTTTATTCTTCATTTCGTCTTCGGACAGTGTTTTTTCGTCAAGCGCAGTTTTGCAGTAATCGTAACAATCTAAGTTTTGTCGTTTCAAGTTGGCTCAGTGTATTTCTTTCTTATTACCTTTACTTAATCAATTGTTGGAATTTTGTATTTATTTATTATTTTAAGTTTCAACCCACATCGTTCACCGTCAATAAATCGCCTATTTTATTAGTAACTGTGGTGTTGAGAAGTTACAATTGCCGCAGTCACACCATGATAGAACACTAATAAAACCAAATTTATCAAAATATTAACGAACATGCGGCATTTCTCCCTGCTTCCTTTTCAGGCTTGTCTATGAAACTTACAGTGCACTTTACGGTACGGAGACTCTGTAAAACCCTCGGCTCATGAATTAAACTGAGACCACAGTTCATCCAGATGATTCTTAGGGACCCCATCTACTATCCATTGTAAGAAACACAGGGGTCTCAGAACAAAAATTAATCGGCTAAGCTAGCTTAATCAGTTAATTGTTTTAAGTCTTCCCCCAAACAGGGGCAATCCTCATTTCAAATCTTACTAAAACAAGATATTCCCTATCAACGATGCTCTCCTTTTCAGTCTTCGGCAACAGAACGGGCCCAGGAACACTCTTAGAAGCTAGGAATACGCCCATAACGCTCGACTTGCAAAAGTGAACCGTGATGGCACTTGTGATGATGAAGCCGTGTGAAAAGATTCTACAAATTACCTCAAAGGCACTTCTAGCCCCATGCAGATTTGACGGCGAGGCAAAGGCAACATGATTTTTTCCCCATTAAAGTGAATACCAAAGGAAAGCTCCTGAAATGTGGATCTAGAACATAATATCCTGAGTTAGGCCTCCACAGCAATCTTCATGTGCCCTCTTTGTCTGTAAAAGTGACTTTTATAGGGGAAGACCCCCTGTTTTACTGTATTATAAATTTGTGAGTTGTATCGAATCAGTGATGTGAGTGGTATCGAATCAGTGATGATTTACATGAAATTTTGATCAGGTATAATTTTCCATTACCACCCATACCTTGTGTGTTTTAAAATGAGCCCATCTCTCTGACCAATGTTCTGTTGAACCACTGGAATATACGAGTGTAAAACTGCTTTGCACGAAGACAAACAAAAACATATCGCTGAGAGAGAAATCAACATGGAAATGATCGAAGTCATATTAGGCGTAATGAACCGGCAGTCTCTTTGGACAGTGGTACAATCGCCAGTTCAAAGTGGCACTGGCGAACACCAGTTCAAAGTGGCGATCGCCCCTTCATAGCCTTAACTTATTTTATCTCCAGGTAACGCTGCAGAATCTGACAAGAGAGATTTGATGGCGGAACTTGACACAATGAAGCAGCTAAAACCACATCCTCACGTCATCAAACTTTTGGGATGTGTTACGGAATCTGGTGAGCTGATACTTGCAGCTGTTTACTTTATTCGTGTATGACGTCACACTTTTTGGAAATTACTGGAAAACGGAGATTAGGAGGTTGTAGTGGGTTGAGTTTATGAGGTTACTTAAACGCTTTTTTCAAATGTAATTCATCAAAATTGATTTCCCGCCGAAACCGGTCAAAAAAAAGGCAAACTGGTTACTAGACCAAAAAAAGAAACAAAAACAGATATAATCTGCTAGGATTCAAAGTGGTTGTGAAAATAGAGCCATTCTTCACTTTCTTTATTTGTATCCCAACCGTTCTACAGTGACAAAAATTTAATGCGATTCTTCATAGCGATTTAAAGTTCCCATTTTTACCTGATAATTTACTGTAACGTAGTTAAATGATAAGTTGTCTCACGATGTATGTCATGTTTAACAATGCATTAGCACCTTGAGAACTTTGACTGACTTTACGGTGGACTTAATTACAACATCACTAGCAGTCAATTTATACACACATATATATGTATAAATTTACTGCTATGTATATTTATAAATTGACTAAACATACATATATATATAAATCGTGGTTATAGTCTATCCTTGAGATATAGTGCTCGATGCGTTCGCAGAGCGTGGTATATCTGAAAGTTGAACTAATCAATAACACATGACTTTTTCTGTGACTCTGACTTTCATGCTTACGCGATCATCATATAGATTTTAATGAAAAGTATACCTCACTTAATTTAAATAAATACTGATTTAAATCTCGAAAATGCCTCCCTCGACATGAAGATCTGGATAGATTCGAAGCAGACCTCATGAACATGGTAAACAACATCCAATTCGGAAACACACAAGACGAATTTCAAACCCAGCTAAATAGGGACATACAAAGAATCAAAAGCTCTACGAAAGCCTTCATCCCCGCCGACAAAACAACTAACCTCTACGAACTCGACGAAGCCCAGCACGAAAAACTAATACAAAACAACATAACGACAGCCTACAAAGAGGCGAGCAAGGACTTGTTTACAATATTAGCCAAGAAGCAAAGGCCATAGTAACGCAACTCGACATCCAGGACCGAACTGAACGCATAGCGGAACGACAAGCCTTCATATCGCCCAATAATTCAACCTCCAGACTAATCAATCCAGCCAAAAGCGAATAAGTAAACAAATACTCCAAAGAATCGACACCGACGTAAGAAACAAAACATCACTTAACCAAGGAAAAAACTCCTCCACCGTAATCGACTGGTTCATAACATCTTCGACAAGCATCTACACACCTTCACCGTATTCGACATTGAAAGCTTCTACCCTTCCATATCTGATAAACTACTGACCAACGCCATCCACTTCGCTATGGATGAAATGCATCAAGATCACCAATTAAGATATCGATATTATCATGCACTCCAGAAAATCAATTATATTCCACAGCAGATCACCTAGGGTGAAAAAAGACAACGACGATTTGTTTGACGTAACGACGGGAAGCTTTGACGGCGCAGAAGTATGCAAACTAATTGGACTTTCTATCTTGAACGACCTTGCAAACAAATACTGAACAAACAACATCGGACTTTACAGGGACGAAGGACTCGCCATTTTTAAGAACACCACAGGACCTCAAGTAGAAAGGACACAGAAAGAAATAACAAGGCGCTTCAAGGAACACGGACCGAAAATAACAATTCAAAGTAATCTAAAATCACTTGACTACCTCGATATTACACTCAACTGGACGAACGGACTCTTCCAACCATACAGAAAACCGAATAACGAGCCGCTTTACATCATAACCACCCACCCATTGTCATCAAGCAAATACCCGCAGCCATCAATCGCAAATTATCAGCCTTATCATCCAACAAAGAAACATTCGACAGAGCTAAGCCTCTTTACGACAAAGCCTTTAGATCAAGTGGATTCAACGAAAGCCTTAACTACTGCAAGAAAAACACTACCGCACCCACGAAAAGAAATAGTAAAAGAAACATCATTCGCTTTAACCCCCAATACAGCAAAAATGTCCAAACCAACGTCGCTAAAACCTTCCTCAACCTAGTCAAGAAACACTTCCCATCAAACCACCATCTCCACCCAGTCTTTAACAAGAATAATGTGAAAGTAAGCTACAGTTGCATACCGAACATGGGCAGCATCATTAACAACCATAACAAGAAAATTCTTAACAACAACAACACCACAACGCAAAACGGATGCAACTGTAGAAAAAGAGACCAATTCCCGCTAGATAACAACTGCATCATCATTAACGTAATCTACAAAACCAAGGTGACCACGGACAAAGACAACACAGGAAAGAACTTCATCGGACTAAAAGAAGGAACATTCAAACAACGATGTATGCAACATAGACTATCATTACGCAACAGGAAATATGCTAACCGCACCGAACTAGCGAAATTGAACAACCACTGTATACATATAAACTAAGTGAGGTACAATCTTCATTAAAATCTGTCTGATGATCTCGTAAGGAGGGGGACATGGTGGGTTCTGAATGCCGCAACACCGCAAACAAAATAGAACAAACACCGCATCACCGCAAGAAATATTATCAACTCACCGACACCGCAAGATTTACCTGGTCTAAATTAAAAAAAAAAAAAACGTCATCACCGTTACTTCTACTTTTCAAACAAAAGAGACACATCACAAGACATTCCTACCGCAGTCTCCGCGTGTAAAGTTCCTTGCTGTCGCCTACATTTCACTAGGCGACACTAAGATGAGCCAAAGAAGTTACTGCTGCCAAGTGATACGACAGTGTTTCCGTTAGGTCAGTCTTGCGTCCTCTGAAGTTAGAATACATTCTCACAAAAAGTGAAGTTCACCGTTTGCTTCCTTTGATCTCACGACTTTCTTTGTCTAATTTTTTTTTTTTTAAATCCATTTTCTATTTCATAGAAAAAGTTATACAGTTAGTCATCGTGGTGACTAACACTATACCAACTAAGTTTATCGTTTGTCCATCGATGTGGTCAACGATGATGTCGACTGGTTTTGCTTCATCCTGTAAAGAACCGGGTGGTCCGCTTTCACTCATTGGTTTAACAACAGCTGCGATTGGCATATAAACTCAAGGAGATTGCCATGCTTTGCCATGGTCGTCTCTTGGCGCACTCTCCGCTGTCGCACTGCTGCTCCGTACGCCGAAGCCCAATTCCGCATAATATCGCAATTTGCATCAGACATATCAACGATGGGAAGTGGCTTTATCAAAGGGACTTTAGAGAATGGTATTGTCTCCTTTGGTCTTTGGAACCATGACTTCCTACTTGTATGATAAAACCCAGCCCATTGTGTTGCCTTCTTGATTCTTTCTTGGTAAATTCAAAGGATCTAGCATACTCCATCATGGACATGTTCACCTGTTTGATATGAACAGCGGAATGGCAATTCTCTACGTCCAGTCAACTCAAGAGATTAGTTGAACTTTAATTGAATGGTTGCAAATTGCTGCACAATCTTCTGCAGTCCCCATTCAAGAGGTGCAACTGAGGCCACGCTCCTGGCGGAAACATTAATAATAAATATTAATGAGGTCCATTAATAGCACTTGTAATGCCAGTACTCATTCGGATCTCGTTGGTGTTCCTCTCTAGAAGCTCTTTACGCTGGCGGACAAAGGACAGCGCTACTGTCAACATACATGGCTCATCTTTCAGTTGAACTACTTCCAAAGAAAATTTCCTGATTCCCTCGCAATGTGACAGGAAAATGCATCCAATATGCAGAAACATGCTGTAGATCTTTTGCCATGAATGCCCATACTTCATGATTTCTTGCATGTTTACCCCTATCAGCCCAACGCCATCCTTTTCCACTTGAAAAGAGACAATCACTTTGATGTCCTTCCTCGCAGTGTATATCAGATCATCGTCGGCGCACAACATACTTTCAAAGGATGGCTGTCTTTCAAATTCTAGAAATGGATTTCATTAGCCTTTATGTTATCCAGAATGTCTCTGGATTTGAGGGATGAAGAGTAGATCTTTAGCCTCTCCTTTACTTCTCTAACAATCCCCACGAATAGCAGGTGGAGTCGATTGGCAAGGTTGATGAAATCATACTTTTTTCTTGGCTGAGAAGAGATGTTGATTGCCCCGTCTGCAAACGGAACTGCTTCGATAGGCCCACCGTCAGAAGTTAGGAAGATGATTTCATCAGCACAGTGGATATCTCTTGCTTAGAGATTTTGTCTAATTGCTGAAATTTTGTCAACAGGGCTATGCAAGCGAGCTTTGTAAAGTTTAGACAAGGAACTCTTCACATCATAGGACAGAAATGCTATCCATCCGTAAGACGGAATGGCGATGCTAATTGGTGAAGGAAACATACCAAGCTGGCTGTTAGGAGAATATCTGTCATACAATAAATATTTATAACATAGCCAGTAAATTTGTCTAATCAAATTCAATTGCGCGAGCGTGCTTCATATTCCTATTGTGCACGCTCATGACGTCAGCAAACAAATCCCTCGAGAAAAAAATTGCTTAGGGTTGAAAATGTTATAAAGCAATTAGTTCATACGTCAGCTATGCGTTCATCGAGATATGAAGCACTTGGGAAGTTTGGAGAGCACTCAAGAAGCTAGAATCGCTTTCGGCTACACCTCGAGCAACTCTTACGCATCTTTCGTGCCCTCCAAACTTCCTGCGTGCTTCATATCTCGATGAACGCACAGCTGACGTATGAACCAATTGTTTAAATATTAAGTATATGTAAGTATAATATCATACAATCTGGGATGATTGTATGACAGATGTAACCAGTGTCTTTCAACTAAGCAGTTAACTTAGTGTCTCTAAGGGTGAGAACGGAAGATAGATCTTTTCTATCTTTGATCTTAACATGATCGTTTTTTGGGATGGTGTCTTTCGTTTCTTTGTTTTAGCGATTTATCAAAGTCCTTATCAAAGTTAATAGGTTCGCCATTATATTTCAGCTACCAGTTGGAGAATGCTATTTCCATACTTTTACCAACATGTGGACAATCTGGTAAAACCGACAAAAATGCGAACTCGGTTTCTTGTGCCTGCTTCGAGTTTTTCTGAAACAATTTGAGTGGGAGTCCGATTGTATTCGTCTTTTCGCATGCGATCGAGTACAGTAACTAAAGTAGATCACTTGATATATTATTAATTTGTCCACAGACGATTTCTCTCCTTCCAAATATCGTCACACGAGTACTCCGGTGCTAAAGAGTAAGCGCAGAGTGTAACAAATAGAGAATAATACATGGATGCGCGTAGATATAGAATTTCTCTTCGAGTGTTTAACTCGATAGCTCACGAGTGAGCGCAGCGAACGAGTGAGATGTCAAGTTGAACACGAGAAGAAAAATTCCATATCTACAAGCAGCTATGTATTACTTTTTTTTATCATATAAACACAATAGTCCTTTATTGAGAAGAAAAGCCGACTTCATTAATAAATGAAAATAAATGAATCGACAATCCTCGAATAACAAACGGCCATAATCGGCTAGTTACAAATCTTCCAGTTGTCGATTTTCATTTTCGGCCGAGAGAAATGCTAACACCAAAGCCACTGAATACGCAACTTTCGGTTTTTCTTTTAGTATGTTGGTTTTCTTCCCCTTTTAGGAAAGTTTGAACCTCATTGTCTGTCAGCGATACGGATTTTTTTTAGTGTTTTGGCCGCTATAATTCGAGAAAGCTCCGACAAACAACTTGTATTGAGAATCGTGAAGGCTTTGCCGTTCATTCATCGACCTGACCGAGTGGCGCCAAAGGCGAGTGACGTGTGAGCAGCTGATTGGCTATATCAACACACATGAACAAATATCGTATTTTTTCACGTGTGTTGTTACGGCTTTTCTCAGGGCCGGAAATCCCTGTATAACATCGCAGTTTATGTAATAAATTTACTTTATCACACCCCTTCCCCTTACGATCTCCGGTATCAAAATTTCCTTGGCTTTTTTTTGGTCGCATGTTTCTCGATATTTTGACTCTTTTGAGGACTCTTTGGGTACGCTCTAAGCGTAAATAGAAGGTCAGAAGTCCTCGGAGCGAGCTCAGACTTTTATAACCCCGTGTAGACTGATCTCCAGACAGTCATGACATTAAAATTATGAGCGTATAAAATGCTAACGTATTTACAAACTTTCTAAATTAAATGGTTTCTTTTAACTTTGAAAGGCTCTTTTCGTTTCTTTGAACCCGATTTCTAAATTTACACTTCACGCGGTAGCTCTCACCACCTTTTCCCTCCTCGAAGTAAAAACAACGCATTCGATTTTGCAGTTGTCTTGATGGTTTCACTCATTTTTACCACGCGCTGGTCTTTGGCTGGCCGACAGTGCGTGGGGTATGGGTCCAGAGATCAAGTAACATATAAACGAACACGGCCTGGGGTCAATCAGCTAATATTTATCAAAGATGCACTGCTTATTTTGTTCGACAGTGTTAAGTGTTTACAGTAATTAACCACGGGTTGTCAAAATCTAGTTAAAGGATAAACTGCAACACCAGAAATGGTTTATATCACCGAACACCGTCGGTTTGAAATTACAAACATCGTACACCGTAAGCTTTGAGACCTCCGCAACACCGCGATACCAATTGTTCTTCACCGCAATACCGCATCGAAAAAAGAGTCAACACCGCAACACCGCAAACAGATGTCCCCCTCCGTAAGCGTGAAATTCAGAGGCACGGAAAAAGTTGTCTTATTGATTAGTTCAACCTTCAGATATATATATATATATAAATCAATGTGGGGGTAGAGTCTACCTTGGAATAAAGTGCTCAATGCTGTGGTAGCAGAGCTCAGTATACATAAGTCAAAGAATTAAAGAGGACGCATCGATTCTCTGTGACTCTGAGTTCCGCGCCTTAGCGCTCGTTAGACAGAACTTTATTCAATGAAGAACATACTTCCTTCTATACAAATTAGAGAAATAGCTAATTAATTCATTAGTGTGATGATCTAATCTGCGTGTGAAATAAAGATTCTATAGAGCTTTTGTTGGCGGCTTGTGAAATTTGCTAAGTAAAACTTATTCTCGTGGCGGCATTTAGAAATGAGTTCTGTTCTTTTGTTTAATAAAGACGGCTTCTTAGCTCTAACTAAGTAAAGTTTTTCTGTGAGGCTCAAGTGGCACCACTTGCTTTTGTTGCTATGCTTTGATAGTTCCGTGCTGTTTGAACAGTTTCTGTTCCGAAAAGAAAGTTTGTGTCGCGTGTAACGTTGTTTAAAAGTTCCTTCTGTTAGTCCAATGTAATTCTTTCCGGTTGTGTCTTTTTCTGTTGTTACGTTGGCATTGTAGACGACGCTTGAAGTGAGGCAGTTTTTTTTCAGAGGGCAGTCGTTTTTTTTCCTGCAGTTACAGTTGTTTTCCGTGGAGGGTGTCTTGCTTGTCTCGAGGATTTTTCTGTTTTGTTTCTTAATTATGGTTTGTAGGTTGTCTGTGCAGCTATAACTAAATTTTATGTTATTTTTGTTGAAAATCTTGTTGTGCCGGTGATTTTTCGGAAAATGTTTACTGACGAGGTTCAGAAACTCTCTGCCGATGTTTGTTTGTACGCATGGACGTACAAACGATGCGTCCTTTATAATTTATGTATATATATATATATATATATATATATATATGTACACATATTTAGCTACCTTGGACTTCATCCCATCACGTGTCAATTCTTTGTAAAGAACCTGCAGTTTATCGTTTATTTCGCACGCACCAGGCAAGATCCAGATAGACAACAGCCAAAAAGGGGGCCCACGTTGCTATGCCTACAAAAAAGCCTTTAAAATATGATACTTTCCTCTTCGTTTAAATATTATCACTTTTTCAAAGAACGGAGACGACAAAAAGTTTTTGGTTAGAAACTAATGGAGATAAAATAGAGTTTCTTTAGTCGGTTTGCTTTCTACAACAAAATAACGTGGAAGAATATTTTTGAGGCAGCTAGCTGTAATTGGATAATTTCGATTTTGCTCTGACGAGGAAAGTGAGGAAACGGCAGTAACCACGGCAGGCTGTTGTTACTAGCGACCCTTAGCAAACCAAGACGGTGAAGGCAACGAGGACGTGGTAAAACAAAAGATCTAGTGAGCATAACAATAGCTCAGCACATGCCTTTTAAAACTGTGTACATTCTTAGCCGTTCTCTGCAAACAACAACGTGAAATCATCAACAATTTGGGTGGTCTCAAAAAGGGAACCTGACGGCAAATTACTTAAGTTTCCATTTAGAACTCCACGCCGCTTTCATACGTCATGCTGAGATTAAGTTGTGGCGCCGTAAGAGATAATAAGCACATCCAATAGTTCGTAAGATTCCAACTAAAAACATAGGTCGATGTCTTCCTTAGCGTTGCCTTCCTAATTGCTAAAGGTCCCTACAAGTGCCACAAGACGCGAGTTTCTCTGCCCGCGAAAATATTTGAGACAATTCGGCGCTAATTTCAGTGCTAGACATTTATCTCGCTGCCAGGAATATTTGCCACCAGCGAGCTAGCCATCAAGGCAATCTCGCCACTACCAATTTGCCATCAGCAAACTCGCCACCAAGGTTGCTAGCTAATTTGATATACATTCAAAGCATTAGGTGACTCTTCAGTTTGCTCTTGAGTCTCTTGGGCATCGCCGTACGAATACCACGAGAAATACTGCAGAGCCGTACTAAAGGCTCGATAGTTTTTTCAAGATGGCTAAAGGTGAGTCAAATGCGCGTAACGATCGAAAAGGTACCAATTTGATCTGATTAAAGATGACGACGAGATATCAAACAAGCTATCAGATATCAAACAAAGTCCAGTCTGTAAATATTTAGAATGTACATCAAAGGAAAAGTGACAATAAACATTTAACGGAATGCGAACGGATAACAAGATCGACAAGAAATGTTATCGATCGCAAGCATTTTTTGTCGACAAAACGAGTGTTTCGAAGTTCGAAAGTTCACAAAGGGATCCTTTTTTTATCCCATAAAAACAAGGAGCAACAAGTTAGAGCTCCAGCAAACGTAAATTTATTTAATCAAACATCTAATAGCTCTATTTCTAAAAACTACAACGATGGTTACCGGATGAGTGTTTGGTGACGAGGTAACACGTCCTGGTCAGACAGACCTCGCATAGTGTAACTGGGGACTAGTTAGGCACCATAGCATTAGTAAGCAATGTAAAGAAAATCTTTAACTTGATAAAAATCGTCATCATTTTTTACCTATTTTCTTAGAGCCACTGCTGGTGTTGATAGAATATGTTCCTTTTGGAGACCTGCTGGGTTACCTGAGAAAGAGCCGTGGATTAAATGACACTTACTATAAAGACCCGGATATCAAACCACAAACAAACTTGAGATCACAGCAGCTGATGAAGTTCGCATGGCAAATCGCTGATGGCATGAGTTACTTGTCGTCAAAATCCGTAAGTTTAAGAATTTGTCAGATTAACTCAGATAGAAATGGTTCTTAAGGTTTTTTTTCCAGAAATAATTCTGCTAATTAAACATTTACATAACATGTAATTGAGGAGTTTTGTATCTGTCGAGTACTCGAGTGTCGAGTAGTAGAGTTATCATTAGAAAGGACACTTGAATAGTGATGATAATCATGACATTGATAATAGCAACGATGATGATGATGATGGCAATATTAATGATAGTTATAACAATGATGAATATCATAACCCTTCTAAGCTGGGGCAAATAATTAGAATTAGTGCTTTTGTTTGCTTGTTACAGGAGGAATTTCGGATTTCATTGATTTCATCGTGGCTATACTGCCTCATATTAGAGACGAAGTCACATATGTCGTCGGAATTAGTTAGTGAGCGTCCCGGTGTTACTTATTGTTTGTTTCGGAGTATCTCAGTAGTTTTATATTCGCACCGAGTACTCAGTTGAGTTCTTTATTTTTGGGATTCCTAGCCTACTGCTTCTAACGCTTTTTATGTTATCATCCTCGTAAGTCCGTAAGTAAGTAAGAAATTCCGAGACTTTTTGGAGGCTGTTTAACAAATCCTAAGTAACCACTTTAGAATTTACCTGAGTTAATTTAATCGATTTCACCTTCAACAGCAGCTTCTTACTATTAATACCTAGTAATGTTGTATCAAATGTCACCTTATGAGTCAACAGATATTATAACATAGCTAGTAAATTTGTCTAATCAAATTCAATTGCGCGAGCATGCTTCATATTCCAATTGTGCACGCTCATGACGTCAGCAAACAAATCCCTCGAGAAAAAAAATTTTCATACGTCATCTGTGCGTTCATCGAGCTATGAAGCACGCGGGAAGTTTGGAGAGCACGAAAGATGCGTAAGAGTTGCTCGAGGCGTAGCCGAAAGCAACTCTAACTTCTTGAGTGCTCTCCAAACTTCTTAAGTGCTTCACATCTCGATGAACGCACGCTGACGTATGAACCAATTGTTAATGAAACACGAGCCGTAGGAAGAGTCAAAGTTCATTGCTGATTGACTCTACTCAATCATCTATGTAAACGTTGGCAGCTACCGCATCTGAAAGAATGTTCCCAATAATAAGAATGCCGAACCGATTCTGACTGGATGTTCCTCTCTTAAAGTTTACCTCTGACTATCTCCGTTGTTCAACGTTCTTTCCTCATATCATCGAACACAACCGCATTAGAATTAGCGAATTATACTCAGTAGATCCGAAAATTAACATTTTTCAGGTGATACTACGAGAACTTTAAACATCTCAAATAAATTCATAGTCTCGCAGACGCATAGTTATAATTACGAACAAAACCAAACTTTTCCTTGCAGAAATATCTAAATAGGTGTGATCTGCCCGTCATGGAAACTTTGAGGAAAAATTTTCCTCTTTGAAGGAAGAACATCATATCGTTTGAATGAACCACATATACCCAAAAGAGTTGCTAATTTAGGAAGCGAACAATGAGCGAAGTTTAATAGGCTGATCCTATTCAGCAGAATGTTGGAACGGTAAATTGGTGCAATGGCGGTATTGCGTAATATCCATAAACAAGCAATGACGGAATATCCTAAAACGCGGAATGCCTTGCTGTATGAAACAAAAGTCTCACAAATATAGAATTGTGATGAAATAAGAATATTACTTGAAAATAACAGGTGAACATAAAAGAAGAATTGTGTAGTAATTTTGTTAGTGCCCATAGGATGGAGAAACCAGGAGGCTTTTAAGCTGCTCCCTCTAAATTGTCATTACCGTTATTATCATATTTATTATTGTTGATATGATTATTTGTTACCGTTTAATTTAATGTCAACTAATCACAGGAAGTGATATGGGAAGTTTATGTTTCAGTTTTTCCGTATTACAGTGCTCGACACATAGAAGTGGAGCGTGATATAAATTGAGTTAGGGGGAAAAACAAAGAGACTAAGCCTTGTTCCGACACGCCTGTTTCGTGATTACATCATGTTACGGGAAAATTTACTGATATTTCCGTGTGTTTGTTTGGAACATATTTATTTGTAAACTTTTAGAGTTCATTAAAGTTCTTTCATTCTAGTAAGTCAAAAAAAAAAATGTATAAAAACCACAGTAGCTTTTGGAATAGATTTTGCTTGTGTTTTGCTTTTGTTATTTATTACAGGGTTTTTTTTAAGCTAATATAAGTGTTTATGGTCTTTCTGGAAAAATTGGTTTTCATGGTAGATAGCGGCTGAGTTTATACTCGTAACTTTAATTTCTTTTCATACGATAGTTTCCACACCAACCTTGCATAGATAAGCAGAAACGTTTGTTTGCTTTTCCGTTTTTATTTTTTAAGCTGCTCTGCTGTAATTAAGATAGGTATATCTTCTATACCAGAGCTGTGAATTCGCACCTAAGTTTCCTATTTTAATGGCCTCGAGTTTATTGTATCCGTCTTTTTAATTTTGAGATTCTTTCCGTCGTAGAAATAGATGGAATATTTAAGTAGCTTTCGTTTAATTTCAAAGAGACTTTTTTCCGCTTCTTTGTGTTTTTATTCAAATACTGTGATTTGCGTAACAGTAGAACCTCACACCAGTTCATATTTAAGCAAGTACTTTGAAAAGCTTTTTCGATTACACACACGCCGGCGTACTGATTACATCCACGACGGCGTACCGATTACACAGACGACGGTGTGCCGATTACAGATTTAGTTTTGACTCTAGCATGATGTATGTTAGAGCGCTCTACGAATAAACTCTACTGTGGAACAAAAACGTTGTCTCTTCCTTGACGTCCGTACAAGCTCACTCGAAGTAGATCTCCGTGTACCAGGAAATCGTGACGAGTTTCCGTTCTCGTAAGCCGAGTGGTCTCTACCGAGTTAATTCCCCCCGTTTTGTACGTTTCCCGCGAAGTCAAATTTAGTGCGCGAAAATCTATCGTCACAATCACTCCTCAGGGGATTTTGTCTGAAAATATCATATGATATTACCTCTGTTATTGTTCAATGCCATAAAAATTGTGCTTTATCAGTGGCCACACGTAATCTCAGACGGCCTTTTTTTTTCTCCATCCGTTAGATCATCCACCGAGACCTCGCAGCTCGTAACGTGTTGGTCGGAGAAAGTGAAACTTGTAAAGTAACAGATTTCGGAATGGCTAGAAATGTGCAAGAGGAAACTATCTACGAGAGAAAGACAAAGGTAATAAGAAAGAAATAAGCTTTAGTTTATCAAATAACATGTATTTGTCATAACTGTACTCTATTCTGTTGTAAAGCGCGCAGGAAGCGGTTAGATCACGAAAGAAGTGTAGGGAGAAACACGAGACTTCTCCTTATTGTTAAGAATATATGAAAGTCATATATTTGAACTGCGGATAAAGACGTGAGTGAAAGTGATCCTCGCAGTAATGTGCACTACTTGGGCAGTAGTGAAAATAAGGCCTGAAAAAAAATTCAGGCCTGTATGGGATTTGAACCCATGACCTCTGCGATACCAGTGCAGCGCTCTACCAACTGAGCAAACGAGCCAACTGGGAGCGTCTTTATCTGCAGTTCAAATAGAGGACTTTCGTATATTCTTAATTGTTTATTCATCACTTACGGGTTTATTTGGAACTAACATAATGACCAGCTAACAGTTGGCTCGTTAGCTCAGTTGGTAGCGGTATCGCAGAGGTCATGGGTTCAAATCCCGTACAGGCCTAAATTTTTTTTTTTAGTCTAGGCCTTATTTTCGCTACTGCCCAAGTAGTGCACATTACTGCGAGGATCACTTTCATTCACTTCTCCTTACTGTTAGAATATTTCAAATAATCTGATTGGCTTTGCAAGACTAAAGTTTTCAAAAATGTCAAACCATCAAAGTTCAAAAACAATCAGAGGTCATATTCTGCAATAATTCACATAGTTAATAATTCAAATAGTTAGGCAGGTCGAAACTAACACTTTTTGCCAAAAGTTTTTTAGTCTCTAATCTGAAAGTGAAATGTCCACTGAAATCCGGCCAAACTGTGACTCATAAAAAAGCGAGTTTTTTCACATGACAACGGGGAAACGTATTGCTCAAAGCGTGTGTTTTATGAGTGAACAACAGCCGAAATCATCGGAACATAAAAATTGCTCGGGATGACAGTGCCTTAAAACTCCGCTGCAGTGACTGATGTGGCCTTCCACTCAACACATCGGAAATGATGTCAGAGCAAGTTCTTAGCTGTTCACTCGAAGGGCGGCCGATGTAATTTCTGAGGCTTGCTTCAAAGCGATGACCGGAGATCGCCATAATGAGCTAGCCGCGTTGGATCTCAGCATGATCGCGGTCACTTTGACACGTTCTTTCAACCAATGACAGCACACGTCATAGCCAAACTGAGTGTTCCATCCCGATTAAGGTAGACCTTTTGGAGCTCAAAATTAAAAGTAGATATGCTAAGCAATACCCTTATCGGAAAACAATGACCATGTAGCTCTTTCAAGCTACAAAATTAGCTCTGGAGTTAACGATACTTTTTTCCCAAACGCGATGCTTATTACAGCTGAAAAAGAAGCTGAGTTTGCTGACTTCAACTGAGCCCTTGCGACGTTGGAGACGGTATCCGGTTTGATCGCACCATGGTTAGATCGCTCCACTCGAAATTTAGATCGCTCTATCAAATTAGTGACTTCGCTACCAACATAAGGTACTTTTCTCCGTGTGGTAATGTGAAGTATTACTTATTAATGACCTTTAAAGTTTATCGGTGATTATGTGTCTTCCGACGATTCGAGTACATCGTGTTCACTCTGTCCTTCAGATTAGCCACCGAGCTACCGATGCATGATGTGTAGTGATGGTGGAATAAATAATCGTTCAAATAAATGATCATTCAAATACCAGTACTGTCCAATGTGGCCTTTTTGAATAAAGACTTTATCTCGAAATATTTCTCGTTCGTTTTGGCCTTGTCAGTTATTCACAGCTGTTGGTTAGAACTCGATTACCTGGTAAACCCGACACAGTTGTAATAAACTCTTTTTTCGTGCACAATTTGTGTCTGCATACCAGAGTTGCTCTCGTCTACGCCTCCAGAGACTCTTACGCTTCTCTCGTGCTCTCCAAACTTCACACAAAGCATGAACCAATTCTTTAATTTAACCGATCGCTTTAGCTCTTGCTTTTCTTGCTATTGAAATATCTGCGAGTCGATTGACCGATCACATTTCCATTTGAACAAAAACCCCTCAGTTTTCTGCGAATTCTTCACCGATCACATTTTCGTCCCAAAATTCAACCAGGTGTAAAGGCCACCGCATCCAGTTCATAATGAACCTCTAGCGTATTGTCCGTCGGCCAGATAAGATAGGGAGTGAAAGATGAGAATAGGCTTAGTTCGTGGAGAATGTAGAGAATTAAGGCAAATTTTAAGTTATGATGTGGCTGATCACGTGTTGCAAAGACGGCGAAAAGCGCCCGTCATTTTTCAAGGACAGCAGCCAGTATGCCTATACATGTAATCAATGAACTCACTTTGTGAAATGATGTCAATTCTGGCAGACGCAGGGCGAGATTAGGGGAAAGAATCGTTTGCTGTAAGTTTAACAGGATGAAATGGTCGTCCTAGGTTGGAAGTAAGCAAAGGTCAACTTGAGCATTTAGAATGGCACGATTCTGGATATCTCTGGGAGTCTTGGCGCAAGCGTCAGTGCTATTAAAAGGCAACTCTGAGAATTTGACATTTCAAGTCAAGGAACCGTGGTGAAGATTACTGATGCTATGCTGATCTTGATACTGTTTTGCGGAACATATTTAGCTGAGTTTCCAAAGGCTGGGTATATAAGAGTGCTGTCCCAGCTTAATTCTAGGTAGAAGTTTTGGATTCTGTAGATTTTGCTCAATGTTGAGCATTTGTGAATTTTGAAGTTACCCAGGCAACAGAGTAGAAAAGTGTAGTTTCTTGGAAAGAGATTGCCCCTTTGTGAGAATATTTGCTTCATTGAGAAAAGAGGCACGGTTTACGCATTGGCGATCCTGAATATCATAAAAGAGTGTCTCACATGGTCGTTTATCTTCCTCGGTCTCAAAGTTCTTAACTTAAATTTTTTTCCATTCAAAATTTTAAGGGCCGCCTTCCAGTAAAGTGGACAGCTTATGAGGCGCTGTTGTATGGAAAATATACAACCAAAAGTGATGTGTAAGTCCTGTGAATTGAATTTTTCGCCCTTTTCTATTTTCATAGCCGTAAAGATGCACTTGTGGCAGTTATTTCATAACATTTATTGATGGTGTTCCATAAGTCTTTAGTATAATCAAATTATTTACGTTGCTAAAAGTTGTACTACTATCTAGGGACAGGAAAGCCGAATGTTTTAAAATGTCCGACAGTTGTTGATTTTCTCCATTGTCTTATTGCCTCATAGATGGAGCTATGGAGTTGTCCTTTATGAGATTTTTACAATAGGTAATACTTATTGACTATTTTCAATGAATTATACTAGGTTAGCAACAGAGAGAGTCTTACGCCCACAATATGTTTCAACTAGGTTGAGGTTTTATAACATCAAGGGTGACTAGGGTTAGCCACTAATACTCGCTTGACTCTACAACCTTGTCCTATGCAGCAACTGATATCTGTTAAATGCAATCGCGCGGGAGGTGTTTCGAATAATTGGGAAGGGTAAAAATCAGGTAAGAATCGATCATTGGCTTGGTACGAACTGACTCAAACTTGGGTACGAAACGTCTGGGTACGGAACGACCGGATACCCTTTAAAAGGTGTTCTCCGTCTAAGGACGCGTCCCACGTCATATATTAATTTTGATCATTTCTTCAATTCGCCGCATAAAAATCTAAGCATAGCTATAGAGTTATACTCGTGTTGCAATAGTCTCCCAAGTTATTTTATATCAGGTGGTTCACCGTATCCGCGGATGGATGGCAGGAAGATTGCCAACTTACTTCAGCAGGGATACAGAATGCCTCAGCCACCACATGTGGATGATAAGTTGTAAGTGCTAAAGTTTCTTAAGACTGATACTCTAATGAGGCCTGAAAATATGTTACTGCGCCTTTGATTCTACTAAGGTATATTTAGTAAGTAATTAAAAAGCTTTAATCCAAAGCATCTTTTTCTTCTTCAGTAATTAAATTAATCGCTTACTTTATGGAAATGTTCATTCTTTAAAATTTGAAAGATATCAGCATATCGATTAGCATATCCACATTCGAGAGAATGACAAGTTAAACATTTTTGTACGATAACAATGAATTCATCGTGAAAACAACTCACGTGTTTCGTTTCGATTTGATTTAATGTACTTTATGTATATCAAGTACCAACTTGTGTTATATGAAACGTAGGTACGACATAATGTTGAGATGTTGGCAAGATGACCCGGGTACAAGACCAACCTTCTTTGATCTAAGAAACCAGCTCAAAGCCATGGAAACATTGCACAAGGTAAACTTTTACATCCAGTTATATTACGAGGGATCATTATAAAATACGTCGAGTGATTTACTAATAAAATTCTTAATAACATCGAAGTGTTCATGATAAACGCGGCAACTATGTACCTGTACTCTCCATCAAGTTGCTTGATCAGCCAACTAAGTACAACTGAAGACTTCGTTTCCTTACCTGCCATGGGTTTGAGCATTTTAGATGAGGTCATGCAGAAATAAATAATTCTTGATGGACATTAGAGAAATCCTCTTATACCTTTCTTTCGTCCACAGAGGCTGATCAATATGAAAATCTACGACAAGCAGTTGTACGCAAACGTTGAGGATTTGGCATAGTAGGCGACGACAAGTTTTCAGCATTTGAGGAACGAGTTTATTCTCCTCTCATCAGCTAACGCTCTAAAAGATATAAGATCACGAGGCGATTAATTTCAAAGCTAATTTTAATGAAGTACTCACACCGTAGTAGCAGTTAATCTCATTAATTTAGTTTGCCTTCTAATCAGTTTTAGTATAAACCGGGCTTTGCATGACTAAAACAAAACATATTAAACAAAAATAAAAAATGAGAAAATCTTTTTCCAAAACTGACAGGTAGTTTTGTTCTGTCAAGGATCCTTTCAAATCGTTTACTGGGTATGTAAATTTATATTGCACGCTTAAGTATGTATTGGTTTTCGTAATTTTATCAGAAATGTGCATAATCATCAATATCAGTATGACTATTATTATTTTCATTGTTTTCATCGTTATTAACATTAGTATTTTTACTATAGTTATAATCATAGAAATTATCGGTGGTCCAATAAGCCAATCACATTTAAAGTTGCAGTTCAAATCAACCATTCAACAATTAACACCTCCTTTGTCAGTCTTTTCATGCAAATTTTCCCTTTCTTTCATAACTCGGCTATTCTTCTTTTCTCGGAATTTGTAATTTTTTTGATTGATTGGTAATAGGACTCGTGATAAACAAATCGGACTCCCGGTACGCAGTCGTCCGATTTTGTTTTCACTCGTATGATTACAGACGGAATTGGACTCCACTTTATCCTGTTACCATTACTTTTCAATATTATTTTCATAATGAATATTCAGATTTTTTAATTATCGTAATTTTTCTCACTCACATTTTCCTATTACCCCTGCAGGTATTTTAAATATTTCTTGGTTCCTTTCAGAACCTCATTATTGATCGACAGTATAAATAAGTATCAGTTTGCTTAATTCCAGCTATATATTAGAAATGCTTTCCGGTAATTTCGTGTACAGTCACGCAATCGAAATAACAATAATGCTTATTTCATATGCAAATATGTCGAGTGATTTTCTTTGTGAGGCATTGGTTCAGACTGCAGTGACATTCAGGACTTCAAAATATATTCAAAAGTGTTATGAAAGTAAGATCATAAGAACAACTGTAAGTCGGCCTACAGGTGTATATTTGTTAAAACAATAAACAACAAACGCTTGTAATAGCATCAAATTATTCAAATAACTTGGTTGTTTTGGATGGTGGCTTTAAAGAAGAACTCGGCTATCAAATTTCCAGAGGATGAATGATGAAGATTACTACAAGCACAAGGCATTGCTACAAGCTTGTCATCCAGAAATCTTTTCAATTTTCGTCTTGACTCCCAAATTCTTTCAGTTAGAGTATCGTAAAGAGTATTTAAGCAGAGAAAAATATTTGAAATTAAACGAACATTTCCTCTTTCTGAAGAAGAAGAATCCAACGTTCTCCCTGTTTCCTTAACCCTTGGTCCCTAAAAGCAAATAATGATGATAAACAAAGCTCACTTTGTTAACGTAGTCCTCCCCCCACCCCCCCCCCCCCAAACTGGTTTTCCTTTAGCAGAAACTAATTAAAACGTACGACTTGGAGCGATATACAAACGTGATCATGGTCATGTTATGTAGCTGTGACGTAGAAAACTGTGAAGATACGTCGGCAAGTATGGTGGAGAAGGATTGAATTAGAATTATTGAATTAGATGATAGCGAATCCAAGCGCTGTGTGAAAGTCGATGTATACGAAATATTAATTTACAATACTGATGTCAGTTATTTGCCATTGAGCAAAATGGGTCATATGGCAGTGCTGCACTTAAACTAAGGAAGTTTTTCTCTATTAAAATCCCTGTTTGAGGTTAACTCGAATCAGATGACAATGAACTCCTTTTTTTTTTCTGTTTGACCGGCTCTACGACGGTAGCCTTTGCCTTTGCAATCTCCGAGGAAAGAAGCAACTTGCCGTGAAACTGCCCGATGACTCCTCGGCGAAAATTCATCGTGCCTCGTGATACAACTGATCCTTTCGTCAAAAGTTAGCTTTTGATTTGCTTCAGGAATTACTCTACAGCAACGAAACTCTAGAGCACTGACCTAAGGGGAACCTTCGCAGCACTTAGTGCGAAGGAATAAAATGTTATGGCTTCAGAAACAAACAAAGCCATACCCATTCTCGACATAGATTTCCCCATAGAAAACAAAAAACAAACGCAACAAACTAAACGTGCAGTAACGGGAGTTTTTCATCATAATCTCGACCTGAACACTGCAAGCGAGAAACCTTCTGTCACTCTTCGACGAAATCTTCGTTTCATTCACGCGGTTCTCCTTCGTAGGGTTGAACCGTACTTCCAACTTAGCAAGGTAGACATCGTTATCGGACATGATTTCAAGAGTATTTCAAGGCTGACTGATACAAAATTACAAGAGATGAGGGGATTTGTAAGTGTCAACAACAACTCATGCAATGGTTTCCAAACCAATCTTGTATAAATAAGCAGAAACCTTTAATTGCTTTTTCGTTTTTTTATTTCCTGAGCTGCGCTACTGCAATTAAGATAGGTATTGTTTTCTATACCAGAGCTGTAAATTCGCACCTAGGTTTCCTACTTTAATGGCCTAGAGTTTATTGCATCCGTCTTTTTTATTTTGAGATTCTATCCGTCGTAGAAACAGATGGAATATTTAAGTAGTTTTTGTTTAGCTTCAAAGGGACTTTTTTTCCGCTCCTTTGTGTCCTTATTCAAATATTGCGATTTGTGTAACAATAGCACTTCGCACCAGTTACTTCTTAAGCAAGTACCTTGTACAGCTTTGATGATTACAAACTAGAGTATGCTAGAGGTCATGTTGCTTGTTAGCCTGACCTAGAATAAAAGTACTGTGGAACCAAGATTGTCTTATCCTTGACGTCCGTATAAGCTCGCTCGAAGCAGATCTCCGTGTACCAGGAAATCGTGACGAGTTTCCGTTCTCGCTGCCAAGTCGTCTCTACAGAGTTAGTTCCCCCAGTTGTTACTGTTCCGCCCGAGAAGAGTCAGTCCTCCAGTTTTCCAGTTTTGGGGCGCAAAAAACTATCGTCACACTTCGTCATTGGGAATGACAGTGTAAAGAGATGTTATATCCATGGTGAAAATAAGTTTGTTTTGGTCGAGGAAACTAAAGTCACGAAAAATTTCAAGTGCGTGTTGGCTGTCCTTAATGTAAGACGGTAGAGTTTTAACGATAGGTGCCATAATTTTGTCTAAATAGCTGGAAATAAGTTCAGTGGGACAACTGCAGGCAGAAACGATAGGTCGACCTGGGTTGTTAGGTTTGTGGATTTTAGGTAAAAAGTAAATACAAGAAGTTCTAGGAGTAGTAATGATGAGATTTTTAGCAGTGGCCGGCAATTCTTGTTTAGCCATATGATCGTTAATCGTATTTTTGACAATGTTTTGGTTAATTAAAGTGAGATCTTTGTCGACTTTAGCATAAAAGGAGGTGTCAGAAAGTTGCCGCAAAGCTTCTTTTTGATAGAGGTCGGCCCGCCAAACAACAACTGCACCGCCTTTGTCGGCCGCCTTAATGACAATGTCTTTGCGTTTCAGTTTAGACTTTTTAGTGCCGACCACTCTTCCGAAGAAAGATTGGAAAATTTGGTGTTACGATTGAATTTAAGTTTGTTGATATCGTGGCGACATTTTTTGAGGAAAAAATCTAAAGATGAGAACTGGCCCTCTGGGGGAGTCCATTTAGACTTTCGAATCTGGTGTTTCGAAAGTATCTTTGTTCGAGGTGTTAGAATCATCCTCTTTGTCATGAAAAAAGGCTTTCAACTGAACGCGGCGAAGGAATGAGTTACTGGTCGCAGCAAATAAATGACAAATGAATAAAGGGGTAAGTTTCTAAAGAAACTGTGGTGCTAACGAAGGGCTAACGCTCGAAACGTCAGCTTTTTTACCCTTTACGGTGGCTAATTTTACGTTTTCAACCCAGTTGTTAACACTAAATTACCTGCTATACTCTCCCACCGACGCAGCACCACAGTTTCTTTAGAAACTTACCCCTTTATTGAGAAGAGGTGAATCCTTGTATATTAATCGTCCATGGAAGTGAATAATACATATATGTTATTCGCTGACCGGGAACAAACCGAGGCTAGTGAATAACATTTTTATTTTTTCTAAAACTTAACAAAATGCTTTCAGAAAGAACCCAAATGATTTAGGGCTGTTATTTTGTGTCAGATTGTGACAGGAACTTATAAAGCAAATGTTTCGAGTTTGCTAGCAATCTTTTCAATCATTCAGTTCATTCGCCCTTCTATCTGCCAACCTATCAATAGCAAACTTGGACGAAGACATATTGATATCCGTAGAAATGAAGTGCTCATCCGTTAAATACTGGCCAAACAATTTTCCAGCCCATCCAAAATTGCCGAAGTTGCCGCTATTCTCAGAAAAAAAATGACGACTGCATCACACTTTTTTGCTCGGATCCGCTCGTTTCATCGCCTAACCTCGCTCCTCCCCCTCCTCTCCTCCTCTAAAGTGTGGTTTTTATAGTTAGACCTGTTCTTCTCCTTGCTGTTGTTTCCGTAACATAATTACCATACGAACCACGCGTGAAAGTTATCCTGCTAAATTGTTGTTAGTCAGCTTCCAGGAATCAGTGTTTCTGATGTACCACACGTAGAGCGATTCTCCATTTTTTTTCGCTCGTTATCACTTCTTTTGTTGTTGCCTGTTTTACCAAACGTTTGACAAACCATGCTAAATTACAATATCATTACATAATGAAATTCCGCGTTGGATCTGAAAACTTATTTCTAAAATGTTATTTCGTTGGAAGAGGATTAAATAAGTCTCGTGATTGCCATGCCGGCCTTATAATCGTCTTTTTATGACAGGAATAGATGTTTTATTTCCAAGAGAATAATGATATAAATTTTGCAAATTATTATCAACGACGATTTTGAGATGTTGCTGAAAAAAAGAAAAACCCAAATAGTGATTAAAAAAAGCGCATTCTCCCAACGCCCTGAGCATGATAGGCTGATTAAA